CCCCAAAACCCCAAAACCCCAAAACCCCAAAACCCCAAAACCCCGAGATAGTATAAATTCATTGATTCGTCAAGTTAATAATAAGTTAATAGTATTCCAATGTTGACAGAAATTATGTCATGGTATGCCTTCTTCACTTGTTGAGTTGGCTTGAGTGCCAAATTCATAACTGCTCCTCTCAGAAAGGAAGATGGAAAGCTCGTTGAGATGAGTAAAAAGGCTAAGACATATCAGTATCATGACTGGGTGTCTCTTTTGTACTCAGTATTACTCATTGGACTGTTTGCGATGATCTACAAAGATCATGGCTTTGAGCTCAACAGACCAGGAACAGAAATAGATAGACACATAATGATCCTTGGAGTGGCCTGGTACACCTTTGATTTGATTATCAAAGCTTATGCTGGAATCATCAACAGCTTTGTGACTGCCCATCACATCTTTACAGTGCTATCCATGTTAGGATGATATATCCGAAATGAAACACACGCATTTGGAGCTGTTGCTTTATTTATTAATGACGCATCAATGATTTGATTTGTCTTAAAAAGAACTTTTGAAAGGATGAACTTGGAGTTAGACGACGATAGGTTCAAGATAAACTTCATCAGCCTTACCATTAGCTTTGTGATTACTAGAGTCTGGGGCAACTTCTGGCTGCTCTATACTTATGCCATGAGTATCGGAAATAATCCTCTGATAATTATTTTAAATTCTCCAACTGTTGCCTTTGGAGCTATAATATCTATTAAATTCCTGAGCAAGTTATGGAAGCATATCCCGGAATGGAGCTCCAACCCAGAGAGAGTTGAAGAGATGGCACTATGGAAGAACGTCAGAATCATGTTCAAGACTTATAACAGCAGAGGGATGCTTAAGAAGTTGGTTGATTGCGCCATTTACATAGTCTCTGTTCTCACTCCGATCGCTCTTTCTATTTACTTCAGCTACTCCATAGGCGTGTCTGAAGATAATTAATTTGTTTCTAAAATTACGCTGAAATATTTTTTGAAAAATTCTGCATTAGTATCTGGACTTTTATCACTTTCTGTAAGGGATTTAAAATAATTGGATTAATAGTAATGAAGTTACATTTAGATGCACATAAAATTGGTTGAAATATCTATATTTCAAGACGAAATCTTATGGTAACCTAAAAAGCCAAAAAAGCTTGTAAAAATTTAAATTTGAACACTTCATTTCGATCTAGGGTATCACAGTGGTCTCTTCATCCAACTTAAAGGTATGACGTAATTTTTAAACCCATTCTCACTCCAAATCCCCTATGTATTCTAATGTTAAACCCTCCGAAACCCCCCAGAATCCCCTCTCCACCTCCCAAACACCTCTCTCACCCACATTTCCCTTCTTCAGTCCCCACTAGACGCCCTCTTCCTCCTCTCCCTTAAAAATCCTTCTTCTTCATCCATTTTTCCCCATTCTGGCCAGGCATCCTTACCTTTAATTCCATATAAAAATCAACCTAGCAATTCCAAAATGGGGTTTTGGGGTTTTGGGGTTTTGGGG